CTCTGAAGCTGTGACTTCATTATCCCTTAATACTGCTAGGTCCTCTGTAGTATCTTGGAATTTCATGGAAATCATTTAAAAACCATTGTTTGTCTGAGAGCCTTGCTAATTTCATAAAAATTATATTTTACCCTATAAAGAGACTAATATAACTTTTGATTTTAGTATTAATTCATAAAATTAGGTTAGCAGTTTGTTAAACTTCTGTATTTCCTCTGGCAATGTTTAATATCTCATAAGCTACACATACTTCAAAGCCATCACCAACACCCTTTTCTCACTGAATAGAACGGTGACTGATGTCATGAAGATTCTTTTATCTCCTTTTCCTTCCATAATTTATTCCAGGTACTATATGAGGTACTTGATTGGAAATAATTCCTGAATTTCAATTAAGAGAAATATGAGAAATGCATTAGTTTAATAGGAAAGAAATAACAAAATTGAAAGGGACTTATGAAATGAAGGAAAAAATCTTAAGGGTAGCCAGAGAGAAAGGTTGGGTTACCCACAAAGGGAAACCCATCAGACTAATAGCAGATCTCTCGGCAGAAACTCTACAAGCCAGAAGAGAGTGGGGGCCAATATTCAACATCCCTAAAGAAAAGCATTTTAAACCCAGAATTTCATATCCAGCCAAACTAAGTTTCATAAGTGAAGGAGAAATAAAATCCTTTACAGATAAGCAATGTAAATTTTGTCACCACCCGGGCCCTGCCTTACAAGAGACCCTGAAGGAAGCACTAAACATGGAAAGGAACAACCGGTACCAGCCATTGCAAACAAAAGCCAGAAATGTAAAGACCATGAGGCTAGGAAGAAACTGCATCAACCTACTTGAGCAAAATAACCAGTTAATATCGCAATGGCAGGATCAAGTTCACACATAACAATATTAACCTTAAATGTAAATGGACTAAATGCTCCAATTAAAAGACACAGACTGGCAAACTGGATAAGAGGCAGACCCATCAGTTTGCTGTATTCAGAACCGTCTCACATGCAGAGACATACATAGGCTCAAAATAAAGGGATGGAGGAAGATCTACCAAGCAAATGCAAAAAAGTAGGGGTTGCAATACTAGTCTCTGATAAAACAGACTTTAAACCATCAAAGATCAAAAAGAGACAAAGAAGGCCATTACATAATGGTAAAGGGATCAATTCATCAGGAAGGGCTAACTCTCCTAAATATATATGCACCCAATACAGGAGCACCCAGATTCATAAAGCAAGTCCTTAGAAACTTACCAAGAGACTTAGACTCCCATACAATAATAATGGAAGACTTCAACACCCCACTGTCAACATTAGACAGATCAATGGAGACAGAAAGTTAACAAGGATATCCCGGGAGTGAACTCATCTCTGCAGCAAGCAGACCTAGCCTACATCTACAGAACTCTCCACCCCCAAATCAACAGAATATATATTCTTCTCAGCACCACATCACACTTATTCAAAATAGACCACATAATTGGAAGTAAAAGCACTCCCTCAGCAAATATACAAGAACACAAATTATAACAAACTGTCTCTCAGACCACAGTGCAATCAAACAGAACTCAGGACAAAAGAAACTCAATCAAAACTGCTCAACTACAAGGAAACTGAATAACCTGCTCCTGAATGACTACTGGGTACATATGAACTGAAGGCAAATAAAGATGTTCTTTGAAACCAGCTGAGAACAATGATACAATGTAGAATCTCTGGGACACATTTAAAGCAGTGTGTAGAGGGAAATTTATAGCACTAAATGCCCACAGAGAAAGCTGGAAAGATCTAAAATTGACACTCTAACATCACAATTAAAGAACTAGAGAAGCAAGAGCAAACACATTCAAAACATAGCAGGAGGCAAGAAATAACTAAGATTAGAGCAGAACTGAAGGAGATAGAGCTCCTTCTACCATTTATTTTTGAGAGTTAGGAGGGTAAATGTCTCTCAGACCACAGTGCAATCAAACTAGAACTCAGGACAAAGAAACTCAATCAAAACTGCTCAACTACAAGGAAACTGAATAACCTGCTCCTGAATGACTACTGGGTACATAACGAACTGAAGGCAGAAATAAAGATGTTCTTTGAAACCAATGAGAACAATGATACAATATACCAGAATCTCTGGGACACATTTAAAGCAGTGTGTAGAGGGAAATTTATAGCACTAAATGCCCACAAGAGAAAGCTGGAAAGATCTAAAATTGACACTCTAACATCACAATTAAAAGAACTAGAGAAGCAAGAGCAAACACATTCAAAACATAGCAGGAGGCAAGAAATAACTAAGATTAGAGCAGAACTGAAGGAGATAGAGCTCCTTCTACCATTTATTTTTTGAGAGTTAGGAGGGTAAAAAATGGCCTCACTTAAGTTTGTTAAAATAAAGTATTCCCTACAGAGTTCATATTTCTTCAGTACAAAATTAGACAATCTGTTGAGAAACATGTTTGATTTTTATGGAATCAAATTTATGTATTATAAAAATATAAACAGGATGTAAAGAAGTAATGTAATCTTTTACACATAGGAATTAAGTATTTAGAACAAGAACTTTTTGGGGAAAAGATAATAGCATTGCCTTAGTAGTTTTTTAGTTGAAGTCACGTGAAAGTGTACATTTTCATACTGTTTATTAATGGTAATATAATATTCTTCCAGTACAGCCTCCTTCCTTTATCTGGTGTTGAGTTATTTCCTTTACAAGACCTCTCTAGTGATGTGTATTGTCACATCATTAAATTTACCAGGCATGTCTGTAACATTATAGTCACAGATATGTTATGAAGTACAGTCTCTCAAAATATGGGAAAACATGTTTGTCTGAAAATGGTGAAGGCTTTAAGTATCATATTTTCATTGGTATTAAAGTGTCCAGTGTATACAGTACACAATTTCAGACCTTGTTGGCATATGGCAAGAGAATACCTCTTATACAAAAGATGTAAAGAAGAACACTCCAGATGGAAACACTTGCAATGGAGCTTGAAATACTCCCACACATTTCATTATTAAGTAGAAAACTATAATTAAATGATTCTTAAAACTGATACTAATTTCTGAAAAGGCATCAAAGTTATAAATATGCAGCTATTTAATACTTTCCTTCTTTCTAATTCTAGAAAGTTATAAATCAAACTAACTTTGAAAACTGGTTCTAACCTATATTCTTTTTTCAAACAAATTTTATGAAATCTATGTGTTCATATAAAGAAATATCAATCATAACATAGATCACATGATATTCTTACTTATTCTCTTGCCAGTCCAGTTTTCTCATGACATTATGCTAGTACCACTTTATTTGCTTGTGTATTTAAGGTTCTGTGCTGAAAAGTTGATAACATATAACAAACATTAAAATGTAAATTTTCTGAAGGGGGAGAATGGGATGTTAATTTAAGGAAAAATCTATTGAAGTGAAAAAACTGAACTTTTATAAAGGACAGAGTTTTGCTAAGAATTAGAAAGAAATACATTCACTGCAAAATATGACTTAAATTCTCTAACCTTTGTAGTACTAAGAGAAAAACTCATAGAACAATATTATTTGTAATTTTTTTCTCAGATTAAACAGCAGTACACATGTATAGTCTCTATTATCTAAACCTAAAATAAGTTAGAATTCTAGGTTATTTATATGATTGTATTTTTCTATTTAAGCAATTCTCATGTTCAGTATAGTCTCTGAAAATATTAAAGGGCACAATTCTGTAAGTGATACATCATTGTCAGGATAATTTCTCTTCTTAAAATTAAACATTTTAAATAATATTTGACTTATTTAAAATGTAGCAGGAGTGGCAGAAAATACCACTAGAGCAGGAGAAGGTACATTGCAAGATTTATTAGTTCAATTCAGATTTATTAATTGGTTTCTAAAATAAACTATAAATAGGAAATGTCTATTTACAGTTTGCTTAATTGATAAGTACATCAGTTGGCTATTGTTTGTTCAATAGATAGTATGCTAATTATTTTTGTATACACATTTAATGAAAGATATAAACACATGCTTATAATTAAGAGTATATTTATGATTTTCAGCAAACTATCACAAGAACAGAAAACCAAATACCACATGTCCTCACTCATAGATGGGAATTGAACAATGAGATCACTTGGACACAGGAAGGGGAACATCACACACCATGTCCTATTGTGGGGAGAGGGGAGCGGGGAGGGATAGCATTAGGAGATATACCTGATGTAAATGACGAGTTAATGGGTGCAGCACACCAACATAGCACATGTATATATATGTAACAAACCTGCACGTTGTGCATATGTACCCTAGAACTTAAAGTATAATAAAAAAAAAAAAGGAGTATATTTATGCCTCATTAATTTGTCATTTTCCATATCTTTAGAAAACTCTCAAATAGTCGACATATCTGTTTTTGGCTCTAACTCTCTGCCATCCCTGTGGAACTTTTAGCCTACACACTGCAGTTGTTTTGAGAAAACAAAGGCATCATTCTCTTCTCAGGGTTATGGTTGTGATTTAAGGTCAACAGACCTAAGACTCATCTCGTAATGCATAGCCAAGCAGTTATAGTTCATAAGCAGTCATGTGACTGGTGACATTTTAAATCTTCAGTCTTTGACTTTGTCATTGGTTGACCTTCGTCTTCAGTAAATGTTCTACATTTCTTGGAATACAATAAAAAATGCCCAAGTCAATTTGGTTGTTGTCAAGTTACTCAGATTTTTCTCACCACTTACTAGTACTCCACCTCTAGCATCCAGCCAACGAGACTACATAGAATTTCACAGTGATCTTTCCCAGCTCCAACTCTTGGCATTTGCTCCTGCCTTCTGTCTGACATATGGTTTTGTTGTCCTTCTGGTATCAACCTGCATATCTCCTCCACCAAAAAGTCTACAATATTGACCCAAAACTTGGATGTCCCATCTGTGTGTTCCAGTAGTGCCCTATTTTAAATCTGTCATGATATCTATTACTAAGTGTGAAAATTACCTGTTTGTTTTTTCAGGTTATATAATAGTGTAACATTGCCAAGAAGTGGATTATCTCATCTTCATCCTGTAATTCCAGTGTTTGTCACATGGTTGTTGAATAAATGAATAAAGAATGAGAAAGCCAGAAGCTCTGATACATAGTCATAATGATAATTATTTCAATGCACAACTATGGGTGAGTTATATTTAACAACAATTTTGTATAATAGTTACATATACATTTTTGTTTATTCTCAGTAACACAGAGCAGGTTCTCAACCCTTTTCTGACTTCCACTTAGTTTACCATAAAAACTTTTAGGTGAAGAACATAAACATTTTTCTTTCCAGGTGGTGCTGAACTACAATCAATATTTTCTGCAACTGGCTCCTCTAGGATCTACTGATTTAAATCTAAAAGATGAAGTCAGTAAAGCATCAGAAAAAAAGGTACTAACTTTTATTTTAAAATTATATAATATAAAAAATTGTAATATTTTATTACTGGAACGCTTACTTGAACTTTTAATGGTTTTTTATTTAACATAAAACATATAAAAATTTTTCTTAAAAAGCATAATATTTTTATATCATACATGTTTGGTGAAAATTTATGGCTGGGCGTGGTGGCTCACACCTGTAATCCCAACACTTTGGGAAGCTGAGGCGGGCAGATCACAAGGTCAGGAGATCGAGACCATGGTAAAACCCCATCTCTACTAAAAATACAAAAAATCAGCCGGGCGTGGTGGCAGGTGCCTGTAGTCCCAGCTACTCAGGAGGCTGAGTCAGGAGAATGGCATGAACCTGGGAGATGGAGCTTGCAGTGAGCTGACATTGCACCGCTGCACCCCAGCCTGGGTGACAGAGCGAGACTCCGTCTCAAAAAAAAAAAAAAAAAAATTATGTGGCATTTTAAACCATGTTTCTAGGCTTCTTTAACAAACTTTTTAGTGGATCTTGCAAATAAAAACCTGTATTGAGTTTTACATACTCAAATGTTTCAATAGGCAGCTGTTTAAACAAGTAAAATTACCAACTTTTTATTAGTGCTTTGTATCCTGTAATTTTTATTACAATTACAATGGTAGATTTAGATTTCAACCGACATCATTTTGTTATATTAGTACTGTGGTCATTGGCAATGGTTGCATGTAATGCAATTGACACCATACCATCAAATTTATGTAATTTTAAGTGCTGATTTATATGGATCTTTCCTCATGAAAAAATAAGGTTTTCCTAAGACTTTTCACCTTTTATGTTACTTACTTATTTGTTTTTTGATTAGCTTTTGAAAACAGTCTTAAAATCAAAGTTTCAAGCTTTATTACAAAGAACATTATCTGAACCATTTGAGAGTAAATTGCTGACACTCTACCATGATTTCTGATTTCTTAGTGGGTATTCCTACAAGTCAGGACATTCTATGTGACTACAATATAATCTTCACAGAAATTTAGCATTAATATATTCTAAGATTTAATTCTTAGATTTTTTGTTTTATTACTTGTCTATAATATTCCTTGTTGCAAAAGATTCCATTCAGATCCATTGATTATATTTATTTTTTATATCTCTAAGACTTTCAATGAGAGCAGTTTCTCAGTCTTTCCTTGATATTTATGACCTTGAATCTTTAGAAGATAAAGTTTAGTAATGCAGAATGTTCTTCAATTGGGTTTTTGTAATGTTTCCTTGTAATTAGTTTTATATCATACTTTTTGAACATGGCTATCACAGAAATGCTCCTGTGATCTTATTGCATCCTATTATTTGACCACAATTTTGATTTGGCCTGTTACTGGTGATGTTAGATTTTATTATTAATGGTGGTATCTGCTGAATATCTTCTCTGTCGTGTTATTTTTTCACTTTTTAATGAATTACTATTTTGTAGAGAGTTCATTTGAGACTATATGAATATCTCTTTCTCATCAAACCTTCAAGCTATTAATTTACTTGTATCAGTATAGATTCATGGTTCATTCTATTTAATAGGTTATAACTTGTTAATATTTTCAAAACTTTTTCTTTGGAGAAATGTTCAACTTTTTCATGTAAAAAAGTCATGACTTTACATCATTGGAGCACTTGTGGCATCAATAGTGGCACTTCACATGTTTTGAGGTTCGTGGCATTGCAAAAAGAATAATGGAAAACAGACAAGAACCATGAGAAATTACCTTTTACTGTACGACACATTTTCCTAGGTAAACGAATTGCTCCTGTGGAGACGATTATCATCACATGGTGTTTTGAGCTGATACTCCCAACACTTGAGCTCACTGCAGTAGTACCAGGTGGTCATAAACTTACTACAGTAGTACAATACATACTAAAGTTAACTTTGTGCAGTTATAATTTAATGCTGCATTTTTATGCTTGTTTACATTTCTCTTAGTTGAAGCTGGTATCATGTTCTTTATATGCATACATTTTGATAAATTTTCACTTTTTATAATTGATTTTGTACATTTCATGGTAGCAATGATAACATAGACTAGTAATTGTATAAATATTTTTGTTTGCTATTTCTGTTATTTGGTTCATCTGCAGGTTTTTACAAATTGCCATTAATTTCCAAATTGTTTCATATTTCTTGAAAAATATCTGCTAACAAGAGCATCCATGCAGTTCACACCATGTCATTTAAGGGTCAATTGCATCTGTAACTCCCATCTCTGATAGTAACCTGGCTCCCTTCATGCTTAGTATATAGTAAGTCCTTACTTAATGTGGTCAATAGGTCTTGGAATTGAGCTTGAGTGAAATACGTATAATAAAACCACTTTCACCATAGGCTAACTGATATAAATAAGAGTGACATTCCTATGATATATTTCTGGGCCCAGAAACATCACCGAACTTCTAAATAAGGACCCAAAACACTTCTAACAAACATTAAACATTGAAATCAATGTGATTTGCATCTGTAACTCCCATCTCTGATAGTAACCTGCTCCCCTTCATGTTTAGTATATAGTAAGTCCTTACTTGTGTGGTCAATAGGTCTTGAATTGAGCTTTGGAGTGAATACTTATAATAAAACCAATTTCTCACTCATAGGCTAACTGATATAAACAAGAGTGTGACATTCCTATGATATATTTCTGGGCCCAGAAACATCACCGAACTTCTAAATAAGGACCTTAAAACATGCTTAACAAATATTAAACATTGAAATCAATGTGAGCTTTACATAGCTTTACTAAGGAAATTACATTGATTTCAATGTTTAATGTTTGTTGAAAACTCTTTCTTAAAGATTAATAAAAATACAAGATATTTTTACCTCAAATTTCGGTGAACCACTGAGTGATGGCAGTTGTAGTGGTGGTGTACAATCAGCTAATCAATGTCAGCAGATTTCATTTGTAAGGAGCACCACTTACCATTATGCAGTTCAGAAACAGGAACAAGTATGTCAGTGGCTTCACAGAGTGCTTCTTGTATGGCATCATTGAAGCAACAAGAAATTTTTGTGATTATCGTAGTTCTCACAGATTTTTATTTTACAGTAATTTGCATTCATTCACTTGATCCTTTCCAACTCAGTTTGTTCTTGCAGTTCGGCTGTAGATGAGAGGGAGCTCTGGCAGTTTTAAAAGCAGGAGGGAACCCTATTATTATAGAGTTTCTTTGTCAATGGTGCTCAGTGATTTGGAATTTAAAATGGATAAGTGTTTCTGAAAAGGATTAATTGTCCTACATCAAACTTGTAAGCAATGTCATGTACATAATGACATTGCACACTCACTCACACACACATCCACTGTTGGTTAGACTGGCACCATGTAGACACACTGGGTTAACTTCAATTCACTGAGTCTTGGGATGTAGGACAAAACAGAGTCCCTGAAGAAACCCCCACAGACATGCGATGCAGAACATTTTAAACGCCTCACGGACAGGGACCTCAGATGAGATTTGTTTTTCATCAATGTTATAAATGAAATGCCATTATTCAAGGACCTGCTGTACTCCTTTTATTTGTTCAGTACCCTTCTGTGTGAACAGTCTCTTGTGTCTCTGTCCTTAGGCGAGTCCTCACTCCCTCTGGGACTTCAACATCCTTCATCAGGTTGCCTCTGCTGCTTTCCCTCTGTCTTCACCCCTTGCCTTCTGCCGATGTTTTGTGCCAAGCTGCCCTTTTTAGGCAGGAATTTTTCTGCTCAGGTGCTGAAAACCAATGCTAGGCTGTCCATCTCATCCCTGCATGGATTCCTCCTGACTCCCATTTAGTTTTGATATTTTATTATATTTCACCCACCATTCAGGGGTGCTCTCAATTGATTCTTTTCTTTTTTTTCATTATACTTTAAGTTCTAGGGTACACGCACATGTTACATATGTATACATGTTAAGTGTTGGTGTGCTACACCCATTAACTCACACATTTATATTAGGTGTATTCCTTAATACATTGTCCCTCCTCCCTTCCCCAACCCTAATGACAGTTCCAGTGGGGGAGCAAGCAAGTGTTCCCTTCCTGTAGTCCAAGTGAAAATGCATTATTCAATCTCACCTTGAGTGAGAACATGCAGTGTTTGGTTTTTCTCCTTGCAATAGTTTGCTGAGAATGATGGTTTCAGCTCCATCCATGTCCTTACAGCGTATACGAACTCATCTTTTAATGGCTGCATAGTATTCCATGGTGGGTGTATATGTACACATTTTCTTATTCCATCTTATCATTGATGGACATTTGGGTTGTTTCCAAGTCTTTGCTATTAGATTAGTGCCGCAATAAACATATGTGTACATGTGTCTTTATTGGCAGCATGATTTATAATCCTTTGGGTATATACCCAGTAATGGGATGGTTTCATTTAAGGTCAGAGTTACGGTCAAAAATGTACATGTTGGGTTCATTTACCAATGTGATGAGTCCTGGGGTCTGTAGGTAGAGCTTATATGATAAAAGAGTACAGTTTAGTGTCTAAGAGAATCTTCCCATGGGAAGTGATATTGAAGTTATTGAAAGATAAGTTAGGGATGGCTATACAGGTCAGGAGGTGTGAGGAAGGATTCAGCAGAAGGAGCATTCATGGCTGTGATCAAGCAGAGGCATAGGACTTGAGTTGCTGCAAGCATGCAAGTGTGGCTATGCGAAGTGTTTTAGTGGGGATGGGGATGGGGATGCCTGAACGTGACTCTTCTTTGCCAGACTGTGATGCAGGGCCCCTGGACACTGGGCACCCTGATCCCCACAGTAAATATGGTAACCTTCTACTGTGATCTGAATGTTTGTGCCTGCTACTCCCTATATTTTTTATATGCGTTGAAACCCAAAATCATAAAGAGATGCAATATTAAGAGATGGGGCTTCTGGGAGGTGATTAGTTTGGAGGGCAACCCCTCACAATGGTGGGATTAGTGATTAGTGTCCTTATAGAAGGGACTCCAGAGAGCTCATTGCCCCCTGCGCCATGTGAGATACAGTAAGA